GTATTTCAGGGCATTGCAAGGAGATACATCTGAAGCTCATGAACTTTATCAAGTAGTGGTCAAGTTATTTTATTTTAACTTTTCCTCTATTTGAAGATTCTTGGCCGCAGAAGATCGTGGATTAGAAATTAATTCCAAGGCAGTACTTGATATAGAAACCGACGCAACCGGTGTGGTGGTTGAAACGAGAAGAGAAGATAAGCTCGTCCAATTTATAAGGTCGTGGGGTTTGAGTAGAACCGCCTTGGATAGAGAATCCGTTGCTTCTTCAATAGAACCCTGAGTAGATAGTTGTATTACAAAAATAAGAAGGTCACAGAAAATAATAAAAATCACTAAATATTAGTAGAATGTATACCTGTAATAGGAAATATCGACTACGCAAAAAATTAACATCCCTATTTCTATCGAGCTTGTCTATTTAAACAGATAATTTAAAGAATGTTATGTGTATAATATTAATAATCTTTTTTGACACATCTGAATCACTGTTCTTTCTCTATGGGAGGAGTATAACATACCAGTAATTTTTATGGGCAAATTATTCATCGCAGTTAGAGTCGCTTCGATCAATGTTTGATCATCTTGTAATAAACCCATGGCACACAATCCAAACATTGCGGGAAGATGATTCGTATTTTCCTCGATACTTTGTAAACAGAAAATAATGATCAATGCATTGACCATTATTTAGGTGTCCCAAATTATCCAATATGACTTACCATTTAAATAGTTCCTCTCTCGCCATTTGCCTCTGCTCTTCTCCCTCCAGGGCCCAAAGAACTTGCGACAATAAAACTGCAACATCCTTTCTCACTTCACCGATTCCATAAATGTCATCAGAACTCCGTTTCTGTTCTAACATTTGCATGGCGCCCTCGGTCTTTTCAAGTGCGTCCTCAAACATTTTTAATGAGTTAACTAAATCGTCGCTAAAATAATATGCCAATCCTGCTCCTAAAATAGTGTAGATCCTGAATGACATCATTGACAAGGATTCGGAATCTTCTTGCCTCTCGATTAGGTTCAATGCTTCAATGTAAGCCTTGATTGATTGGTCAAAATCTCCCGCACCGCAAAGAACTCTTCCCAGATTCCCTTGTACGTATGCAAGCTTTTTGATAAACGGATTCAATTTTGAGGATAACAAATTTTTCTCATCATCTCCCTCATCATATTGAACTGAGGCCAACTGTTCTAGCTGGCGAATTTTTTGTTCAAGAGCCATGATTGCACCATTAAAGGATTCCGCGGATTTCTGGGGTTGATCGAGCCATTCGTATAATAGACCCAGTAGATTTAACGATGCCGAGTCATTGGAATCTTGTTCTACAAGTTTTTTCAAGGCAAACAGTGGTGATATTAACGAAGATTTATGAAAGGTTGAAGATTTCTTATATTGTGAAAATGCTAGAGACGCAAAGCCATAATCTGCATCGAGCTGTGCCAAAAATTAGTTTGGACAATAAATGAATAAAGAAAAATAACAAACATATACATCCAAGTGAAGAATTACCACATGGCCGCCACTAATTTCGTATGCATGTTCAAATAATCCTGGTGCCTCGTCAGTTCCCCAAAGATTCGCGACGTGTGCCAACCCGACCCAGGCCAACGGATAGTCCGGATCGAGTGAACGAGAATTTAAAAATGCTTGATTCGCAAGCTCTAAATCCGAATGTATTAAGTACAAAAATCCAAGATTTGCCCATATCATCGGATTCTGTAAATTTGAGGGTGCGATTAACATTTATCCTAGATATAATGAAATGAATAATAATTGATGAATACCTTTGGAGAGTACTTGATCGCTTTGATAAAAGCATGTTGACTGATTTTTGCGTTGACCGAGATCGTAATAATTCCAAGAGCGTTCCAAAAATTGGAATTTGTAGGTTCAAATTTCAAAGCCATCTTGGTACATTTAACCGCCGCATTTATGTAACCTGATGATAATAAACTATCTGAAGCCTCGTCCTTCCGGGAATAACTCTCAAAAATTTTATAGTATGTAATACCCAGGTCGTACCATAATGGTGGTGCGGTATCTGGGCGATTTCCACCAAGTACAATGGCATACTTATATGCGAAACACCCACAAGTAAGAAGCACCAAGATCAAATCCAAATTCAAAATGTTATCGGCATCAGAATTTTCACACAAATTTAAGCCAAATTTATCGGTCTCTTTATGTAAATGCAATTTTTCATCAAGGTCTAAACGTCTAGAGATCCCGATTAAATTCTTTATGGAATCCAAAGGCATCAAATGTAGATAGTTTGGTAGTAAAGTTGCGGTCATGCAAAGATCCCCTATCAACTTCCAAAGACATATATGTTCATGATATTCTTTAACCGTCTGATCCATTATCAACAAACCATCAGCTAGCAACTCAGCTGCTCGACCATAGAATCCGGAATAAAAATATTCTTTCGCCGACGCCAAGTAACAATCACCGATTCCTTTTGCCGATGGCAGGTGACTCTGATCACCTTTTAATCGTGCTTTCTCGATAGTCAACTTGTATTGATCGATGGACTCATCGAACATACCCAACTTTTGCTTAATGTTTGCAATCTGAAAATGAGCGTAAACTGACGATGGATCCAGTTCAATTGCTCGAGCAAAAGCTTTCATTGAAGATGTGTACCGACCTTCGCGCATGTAAGCATCCGCAAGACCTTCCCAACAACTGACATCTTTTGCATCAATTTTTAGAGCGTCCTGAAGATCAGTTATAGCTTCCGCATTATTTCCATCGGCCTTATGTATAAGGAATTTTTGATGTTAACGATTTATGAGATTCTTAATAAAATTGTGTACACATAAGATCTATGTTTCCGTACCAATTTGAAAAATCCCAACTGCCTCAACGCCCATCCAGCTCGAGGATTCGCCTGAATGGCCGCGTGATATATTCCAAGGGCCAAGTCCTTCTCCCCACTGGATCGATAAAACTCACCTAATTGTGTTCCCGCTTCCTCATCCTGTGCATCAATTGAAATAGCTTTCTGGTAACAACTCTTCGCTTTCACAGGATTTTTCTCAATCAAACGATAATAATGACCAAGATAGGTGAAAGACTTGGAAAATTGGACATCCAGCTTAAGCGAAGAAATAAATTGCGAATAAGCATATTTCTTATCTCTCCGATTCTCTCCTGTTGAATTATGATCCAGCGGAACATACGCGAAGTCATTAATCGAGGTTTCTGTATAAAAAGAAAAGAAGCTTTATTCCTACTCGCCACCGATAGCCCAATGTATTCTGCCCAAACGATAATGATAAAGGGCGCTGCCATCACATATTTCAATCGCTTCAGAAATCAACTGAATTGCTTCTTCATAATTTTCCAACAAGAAATAAATCCACGCGAGTTCGCTTTTTGAAATATGATCCCTCGTATCCAATTCGAGAGCCTCTTCAAACACTTTGATTGACTCTTCAAATTTCCCCCGCGCAGATAGTATTTTACCAATCCCCTATTATAACGATCATTCGATTATGAAGAAGATTGATTAAAATAAGTAGATGAATGAACAAATGATAGGAGGGTTAAGATAGATATACATGAAGAGCCATCATGTTATTACAATCTTTCTGTCGAATTTTCTGATATATTGACATCGCCTCATCATGAAATTTGGCACCAATGTTTAGATAACAATTTGCCATGCATAGTTCAAAAGATCGTAAAACCCTGACATATAATAAAAACGATTGATCAGTCAAAGACACAACTCGTAATGATAAAAATCCAACGAGAAAAAAATTTACCTATCCAATTTGGAACCCGTCTTCTTGTTGTATTTGTTTGTCAAATCTCTACCTTTCTTTGCATACTCCAAAGCCGAATCATAATTCTTAATGTCGTGGTTAAACCAACTCAATGCCATATTCCCAAAGATGCTGCCTTTTTCCAACTCCACCCCTTCCTATCATAATATATATGAACATAGAGCGTTAATAAATAGCTGCATGGTTCGAAAATAAAATAAAATAACTTGACCACTACTTGATAAAGTTCATGAGCTTCAGATGTATCTCCTTGCAATGCCCTGAAATAC